GGTCAAGATTTTCCCTGCTGGTTGCAAAGATCATACTAATTCTGAGAGAAAAATAGAGAATTAATATGGGGTTACAATACCATCTATGTAGTCTGCGCTGGGAGTGCACTGGGGCCCTGGCTTAATGCTAGGGAGCACAGAGAGCTGCTTCTCTGACCTGGTGTCACCACTGCTTCCTATTAAGCACTGTTAATTTCCACTTACAAACATCTTCTATCTGAGATATTTTCTGAAATGTTCTGTTCCAAGTATCAGACTGCTCTAGCACTGCTTACTTTGTAAATCATGTCTCACAGCATGATCCTGGCCATCAGCTAAAGAGAATTTGTTTTTCTGCTTGCTAAGAAGCACTGGGAGGCAGGGAAAAATCCTCTCAATGGACAGCTGTTTTTTATCTGCCTTCAAACTTTGATAGTGTCTTGCAGTTTGACTTGCAGATTTCCCTGGCTGACTTGAGTGTAATACTTAGACTGAATGATAGATAACTTATTTTTGCAAGCTTCTGTGCAGTGTGGAATTTACTGATGATTCCTGGGTCCTTACTAAAGCTGGTAATTGCTGCTTGTTTAACTTGTGGTTGACTTGCACCTTCTTGGGAAAGCTAACACCCCTGAAAATAACAGGGCAGAAGCTTTAGTCTTGATGATTTGCTTTTCATTTTCCAAGTTTTGTAGGGTTTAATTTATGACTGTTGACTAGACTGCCGGAGCGTTGGTCTTCATATATGGTGTATATGTGTGACTCCAAAGGCATGCATCCGGATATCAATTTTTAACTATTCAGCTGTTGTGTAAGACTAACTCTTCTTTTTTAACTTAGAAAAGGGGAGTGTTGAAGAAATTTTCTGAGTGCTTTCTCTGGGAAGTTAAGCCAACGAACAGCCATTGTAAGAGACAGTATTGAAAAAGTTAGGTACATTCCTGCTTATTACTGCCTGCTATAGTTAGTTTGATTAGTTTAAGTTTAGGGCTGGTTAATGAAGAGAGGAGTTGCTTCCAAAAAATGAAGTGTGTTCTTCTGGACACAATAGCCATAAGTGTAGGAAATATTTTTTGCTAATGCTCCACGTGCACACCTGGTAAATGGTTTGATTATTGTTATTGAGCTTCTGGCTTTTGTAGCTAGACCATGCACTAAACTGGCAAATACCAGTGTTCACAAATTACCTAAATTAAGTCTGGGTCACGCATCTCATCTCCTGTTTCTTGTTTGCTTTAAATGAATCCAAAAGTACTGCTAACAGCTGGAATCCCTGCTGACGCCAGCTTGATCTGCTCTGGAGCTGTTCCAGCCATTGCTCTGATAAAGCTTGATATCGTTTCAACAGTCTCTAGGAGGACCAGAATGATTTCCCTTCATTGTTTAAGGTTTCATTCAAATATTCACTGTGCCAGGAAAAAGGATATTTCACTTCTGCTTTTCTAGTAGCAGCAGCGAAAGAAGAAAACTTTTTTCTCTTTGCTTTTCTGAAAGTTAAGCTATAGTGTGACCTGTGCTTTAGGATTCAGTGGGAATTGTTCCACTTAATCTCCAGGGATGGAGTGTTGCACTTGCAAAAGGTGCTCACTGTAAATAAATAAATAAATAATGCATCAGTGTTTGAGACAAAGCACATATTCTGCTAAGTGAACATATTATGTGGGGGAGGCCAGGGGAAACTGGTGTTTTGCCTAGATTTCCATAGTAAATAAAGCACCTAAATCCTTTTAGGGTCTGCCCTTCAGTCTGCTGCTCAATAGCTTTTTGTTTGTGGTGCTAAAAATAGTAGTAATATTGGATTGATTTTTAGGCAGTTCAGTAATCTTGGAGCATCTACACTCAAAAGAGTGACTTAAGGCCACCATAATTTTGTGTTCTACATTGACTTAAAAACAAGGTATTATTGGTCAACAGAGTTGTATTGCCATCGAACATCATCCCTCTGGTATGGTGAGCGGGGCTTTGGGCCTCACTGGTGGGCTAGATGCCCATGCCCTTGGCAGCACTGTGCTGCACCTGGCTCCCAGCACAGCCCTCCTCCCTGCCCCACTGTCACAATTGCTGCGCCCTCTCTCTTAGCTCTCTGGGTGTGTTGGGTTTGCAGAGCAGGGTTTTGGTAGCTGAGAGGCTACCAGGGTTGTTTTTGTGAGAAGCTGCTAGAAGCCTCCCCCGTGTCTGACAGAGCCAATGCCAGCTGGCTAGAAGATGGACCCACCACTAGCCAAGTAGAGAATATGAGAGTGAAATTGAGCCTGGGAAGAAGGGAGGGGCAGGGGGAAGATGTCTTAAGGTTTGGGTTTATTTCTCACTATCCTACTCTGATTTGATTTGCAATAAATTAGCTTAGTTTCCCCATGTCTTGTCAGTTCTGCCTGTGACAGTAACTTGAGTGATCTCTCCCTACCCTTATCAACCCATGAGCCTTTAGCTATGCTTTCTTTCTTTCCCTGTTCAGTTGAGGAGGGGAGTGATAACGTGGCTTCAGGGGCACCAGGGTCATGTTTCCCAGTGTATGAAAACTCCATTTTGTAAAAGGTTACTATTTTAATTTTTAGACCTAATGTAGCTCACCCCACGTGAGATGGGTGAAGGTGCACCTGCTGTGCTAGTAATTGGGATGGGGGAATGCATGAGGTGGGTTATCCTCACCAGTGAGGGCACAGCTCCTTCAGACCATTATTACATTGCAGATACAGCTGACTCGTGGTTTCCACCAGACTTATACCTTCACCTTATTTCAAGCACTGTGCTGTAGAGTGGCCCTTCCTGCCATTATCAGGCTGATAGTGAAATGTAGTGCAGCTCTGGAGCCATTTGTAACAGCAGAGCAGCTAGGATCTACAGCAAGGCATCTACCTTACTGCCAGGTGTGATGGAAGAGGGCTTATTACTTGGAATTAAAAGTATGTGCTTTTGTTTAGCATAATGTCCTGACCCTGCAGGCCACTGGGCATCTGTGGCCTGAGGTGTGAAGAGCAGGCCCTGGTGACTTACTGCTGCCTGCAGGTACGGTTCTGGTGTTTGTTGTGGGGAGGAAAATTAATTCATACATGTCTGACTCCTATGGATAGATTTTTGTTCTTGGTAGCAGGAGGTTCAAGGGATCCACTGTGCTAGCTGGCAGTAGCTTCTGTGTTGGTGTTTGTTGGCACAGTAAAATTTCCTTGTGGTTAAACCTGCGTGTACCTGGTCATGTCCCATGAGAACGGCATGCCTTTCACATGTGCTTAGAAGAAGAAAACAAGAGTTCTGGGTTTCCTAGATAAAAATTTCAATTGCTCTTAGTAAAGCCTATGTGGTCAATCTCCAACTATCAATTACATTATCAACTGAGCATATCAGATCTTTGGAGTGGGTCAAGCAAATAGTGCATGATCATATCTTCATTCTGTGGGACAGGCATGTAAAATACTGTTATGTCTGAAGCTAGGGTTTTATGGTCTGAATGGATGGAAAAGTAGATGGGTAAAAAACTGATGGGATGGTTGGACTTGGAGGGTCAAGCAAGCATACCTGGGGGCTGCTACCAAATGGGGCATCACAGGGATCTGTCATGGGACCTGTTGTGTTAAACACCTTTATTTATCAGTAACCTGGAATAGATGGCAGAGTGCACTCTTTAACTGTGCAGAAGACATCAAACTGAGGGGGAACAGTTGATGCCCTTGAGGGCAAGGATGCCACTAAAAGGAAACCAGATAGACTGTAGAAACAGGCCAACAGGAGCCTCATGAAATTAAACAATTGCAAATCTGACTCCTGCCCCTGGGAAGGAAGAGCCCCTTGCAGAAGGACAAGTTGGGGGCTGCCAGCAGCTCTGCTGCCCAGGGGAACCTGGGAACCCTCAGGTCATCCTGGTGGACAGTGAGCTGAACATGAGCCTATGGTGTGCTTCCTGCACAACTTATTTATGGGAGCACAGCACATAGATTGAGGAGTGATAATTGCTCTCTCCTCATCTCTGCAGATACCACATCTGAACATTATCTGCAGTTTTCCAACTGAATTTAGTCCATTATTTCCCATCACTCTTGCTGCTAATACTGGCAAGCAATCTGTAGATGTCAGGGGAGTGGGAACAAGACTTCTATTGCAACAGCTTTAGGGATGATTGGTATCATTGCCAAGTAGCCCCAGTACTGAAGAGTGACTGAGACAAATGTCTAGTTCCCTACCAGCAGTCTCACCTGTTCTTCCCTGCATTCTGCTTAGGTTGCTAATCAAGTCGACCAAGTTTAATATGATTTGCTCTAAAAAACCTTTTAAGACCTGTTGATTGCCATGTGGTTTGGAGTAATTAATGTTAGGCTTATCTCCTCATTCAAGGTGAAATTTAAACCATGAATTAAGTGATTGTATCAGCAAGTCTGAAGATGATCAAAGAGAGAAGTGTGTTCTGAAAGTTATTTGGTTAGTTCTGTGGCTCAGTCCATGAAAGCAAACACGCACTGCCCTGTGCAAACACAGCACAAAGGAGTTGCAGCTTTTTGCAGACTTTGCTCTATGGACTTTTGCCAAGACCTCCTGGGGACCCTCACTTTGAGTTGGTCCTAAGGGTGTATATGACAATGACTGGAAGATATGAATAGAGGAGGATGGTGGTAGTAAAGCACGACATCCTGGGATTGCTTTCTGCTTTCATTATGACTGGAAAATCAGTTTTGCAATGACTGCTTATCTGTAGAAACCCAAGCAAATTTCAGCTGAAACTGCCTCAAAGTCACGTAGCTTGTAACAAGCTTTTACCATACGTACTAGTACTCTATTTTTTTCCTTTTGTTTTAGTATGTATATTGGGAATTATGAAAGGTATTTATTTTCCAGTTTTGAATTTCATGCTGGCTAAGCTGTTCTGTGAAAGACGTTTGTGCAAAGATACCTTCAGGTGATGTCTGCTCTAGGTTTTGGATTGATCATCAGAAAAATACTGAGCCAAACTGGTGGTGGGAGGATGCTTAGCAAATTAAAACTGAAGGTAGGCATCTTGTAGAATTAATTATTTTACAATCTGTATCTTTCAGGCCATGGTTGCTTGCTATCCCGGAAATGGAACAGGGTATGTTCGTCATGTGGACAATCCAAATGGTGACGGGCGCTGCATCACCTGTATTTATTACCTGAATAAGAACTGGGACTCCAAGGTGAGTAAGCCATGGGGTTGAGGCAGAACAGGAAGGAAAGACTACTTTGGAAACAGAGCTTTGGAGCTGTCCGTTGTTTCTGTGAACTCTGATGAACTTCTGAACTGCTGGTCCATTCTTCATCTCTTTTTTTTTTTTTTTTTTTTTTTTTTTTCTGTGTGTTTTTGACAATGCTTTGGAAGTAAGAATCTGAACGGTTTCCTTATTGTCCTATCTCCCATNTTTTTTCTGTGTGTTTTTGACAATGCTTTGGAAGTAAGAATCTGAACGGTTTCCTTATTGTCCTATCTCCCATTCTACACACATACTGTTTTGTTGCTATAGAATAAAGCTATAAGCACTGAGCTGTATGCTCTTAACACTTTGTTTAGAGGAAATAGGAGAAAAAGAAAATCAATTCACTACAGAATAAGTGGATTCTGGGAGCAGAGTAAAATGACAGCTCAAATTTGTGACTTTATCATTCTTGATACTTCAGGCTAACCTGCAGAAGATAGGCAGCTCGCTTGTCTTATTTGTGAAGCAGTGGGGCTTAGGAAGAGGAGCAAACACATGGTTTGATTCTACCAGTGGGTCTCTCGACAGAATGGCACTCTTGTTTCTGCCTATATTACACTAAGGCAGTTAAGTAAGCCTTGAATATGCCATACCTTTAAATTAGAAACAAAACAAAGATTTGTAAAATTGTAGGATGTCTCTTTGCAAGTCTGTCATAATGCAGCACAAACTGTTCATGGGGGTTATCGATTGAAAATTGTCCAGTGTTTTTTGCTTCTCTAACCTCTTTTTATGCCAGTATGCTCTTTAAACACATGCAAATGCTATGAACCCCCATAAGTGAGCTCACATACTGAGGCAATGCCATTGAAAAATGCAGTGTTGCAGAAAGGCACATCCCGTTACAGAGAGTATGACAGTGAAACATCTCAATGTAGTAAAATCAAGGAGGAGATGTGTGAGGATATGCAAATATCCAGTTTATTTTGTGCATTGCACCCTTATCCAAATAGTGAGGAGGCATCCAAGTGAGCACTAAGAGAAGCTAACTGAAATGCAATACACTGGAGGAGTTTACGATGTAGATGCCATGGTGATTTGGTGATTTTATGTAAGTGTATGCTGGAAGACATGCAATATAATATAATATTATAAGAGTATAATCATACTGGGCTTTGAAAACAACCATGAAGCTTTAAACCTGACTTAGTAGTTTCTCACTGAGGTTTGCATGTGGCATGGAGGTACCACGTCAGGTCAGTGCTGCACTGACAGCATCTTCCCTTCACTCTGTGATGCAGCAATAAAGTTTCCAAAGAACCCTCTAACAGCAGCAGGAGGAGGTAGGGCTCATCTTTATCTTTTGAAGTTTCTAGAGTGTGTGCAGATCATCAAGACCTTTTTCCTGAAAATTGTGGCACATGGAAAGACAGAAATTATATGATAGAGAAACCAGGCTGTGTTTTAAGTAGGAAAAATGGTGGCTGGGATCTATAATACATTTGAGAAGTTTTACAAATCTAATAAAACAGGCTTCACTCTTCCCAAGGTGTAAAAAAAGTTAATTCCCAAATGATCAGACACGGGTTCTGAAATACCTTAAGCAGTATCTAACAATCATTGGGGAGAGAGCCTGATCTCAGACTGGTCAAGTAGAGCAGCTCTGTGGTATTCACTGATTCTAGAAATATGGCTGGAAACTCGGAAGTTTCTCAGTGTTTGCTGCAGGGATGGTGTTACCTTTCTCTTGGTTCATTTGCTTTAGGCAGAAGCTTATGCTGAAACATTACAAACTGTTTGGTAAAATCAAAGTGGCCAAGAGACACAGTAAGGTTTTCCAGGTTTGTTGCATAGCTGTCGTGTTTATTATTAGATGTTTATTCCCCATTTGTTAGGTGTGGAGGAGGGAGAAATAAGTAATTTTTCATGTGAATGTGTGGCTGTGTATATGTGCAAAAAACAATCTTTCCTTTTTCTTTCAGCTGCATGGTGGAATTCTTCGAATATTCCCAGAAGGAAAGTCCTATGTAGCAGATGTTGAGCCGATTTTTGACCGATTACTTTTTTTTTGGTCAGATCGAAGGAACCCACATGAAGTTCAGCCTTCGTATGCAACCAGGTAAGTAGGATATTTAATATTGGTTTTTGGCTAGGAAAAAAACCCAAAGCATGTCTTCTGCCAATATTTTAATCCAAAATTATGGCCATCATGTTTAAATACATGTGCATAAAAAATAGATGTTGAGTGAATCTCTGGTTTTGAGTCATTGGGAATTCTCTCATTAAGTAAGGAAGAGCAAGCTCAAATGGTACATTTCCTTGTGTGTTGGAAAAAGAGGCCCTTAACCATTGACAGGAGAAATCTTCCAAGCTGGGCATAGCTATTTAGCTGGGAGGTGCTGGGTTGTTGTTTTGCCCTTGTAACACTCTAGGGATTGTTGGGGCTACCATCTGTCAGCAGGCTCTGAAAAGCTGATGTGATGCAGGGCAGCCCCCAAGCTGCCTACAGGTGTCCCAGAACAGAAAAACATGCAAAGGTCTGGAAGCTACTTTTGCCCTCTGTTAGCAGGGACTGTGTTCTGTTTTGTGCCTCCAGCAGAAATTCTCACCTATATTTCCATCTGACTTGTTAAAATACACACTAAAATGCTGTTTGCCTATAAAGATGTATCATTTTCATTCTGCTCTTTAAGTCTACTAATCTAGGGGTTTTTTTTGCTTTCTCCATGAGCATAAAACTCCAGTGCTCTATTTTAATAGCAAAAGTGGAAAGAAATGCAAGGTTTCTTTCTTTTATAGATATGCCATGACTGTGTGGTATTTTGATGCTGAAGAAAGAGCAGAAGCCAAAAAGAAATTCAGGAACTTAACAGGTATGATTTTTTTATAAATGTTCACCAGAAAGAATTTAATGCATTTTGATATTTCCGAAGTCAGAGACAGACCAGGAGTAGTTCTGTAGCTACAAGCAGAGATAATGCTTTTTTAGAAAGCTTTTTCACCTCTAATTCCAAGTCAGTTGTTTTATGCAAAGTGGAGAAGTTGTGACAGGCCTGGCCCTAGAATCCCTGATGAAAAAAATGGGGAGAATGGGAGAGACAATTCCTGATTTGAGTCCCAAATGGCTGAGATTTTTTTTCTACCCTGGGTGACTACTCCAGTCACAGGGAGTCAGCTCTTCTTTTGTTTTATGGGAGGTATATTTTGCCTCCTCCAAACCCTGTTTAGTACCCTGTTTAGACTTTCACCAACAGTTTAATGATTGTGTTGTCTAAATGTTCTGAATGAATAGCATCTGTCTTTTGTATTAGTAAAGGACGGAAACCCACAAAGATGTGACCCAGCTTTCTAATGGCAGCCACACTGCCTGCTGCTGTAGCAATAGCATATGAGTCATGGACTGAGTTGTCCAGAAGTGTTCCAGCACCCTACCTGGGACCATGATCTAAGGTTTGCTCTTCAGAGAAGTTTCAAATCTAGTCTTCAGGGGCTGCCTCCTCAAAATACAGTGTGGAGAGCACTTGTCTTTTTAAAAATGTGTGCAGCTAAACAAAGCAGAATAGACTGTCATCTCTGTAGCTTGTATGCAAAGCAAATGCTGGTTTCATCATTAAAGAGGATTGTGAAAAAGGGGCCAAGAGGCAGTGGGAGAAAGTGTCACTGATCTGGGGTCTCAGTTTATGGGGTTACTTAAGTATTGCATAAATCATCTTTAACCTGAATATGACAAATGTGCAAGATCTTTGTGTGACTGTCCTTGTTAACGTGCTGTGGTATCATACAGCAGTTGAATCCACATGGTGGATTCATGCAGTAATTCTGAAATGGAAAGTGTTGTCCATTGAAACCAAACCAACTTTTTTCTGTTTCTGAGTTTTCAGATGAGTACAGTCAGAACCCCCTGGTTTAACCACTTCTTCGTTTTTTTTCTTTTTGATGTAGATGCAAGGAAGAGAGAAGCACCTCTTAATGAAGACTAATCAACTGTTCGTGAACTCTTTGTGAGGAAATAAGATCCCAAAGATGACTTTCATTTCCAGCAAATAAGGGAAAAACATTTTTATGCACAAGAATGCACCGGTTGTGTCTAGGATGCGCATCTTACGCTGATGGTACTTAAGGCAGCCTCCTGTCACACTGCATCTGATAGAAGAAAGACTTGTTTGCTCTTTGCCTTTTGCTGGAAAAAATAACCAGGGTTTAAAAAAAAGAGTATCTGATACTCAAGCTTAGTGGTAGTGGCTCAGCCAATTGGCTTTTGATCACTCTTTTAACTATGATATTGGTCATTGGAACTAGTGGTAAAAAGCTGAGTCTTATTTGCACTTTATAGGGGAAAAACGTTCTAGTTCAATGGGAAGATGCCTTGCAAGTTTGAAATCAGTTGGCAGACTGCTAATGGGGACAGAGAGATATTGGACATGCAAAATGAAATTGGATATTTGTAGAGTGCCATTTGACTGTCTGTCCCAAATGGACCTGTTGATGTATTGTTCATCACTTTTCTGTGCAGAACACTGGTTCAGCTCTTCAGTAACATGACTTCCCAGATGTTTGTCTACACAGTCATAGCATTTTCTGGATTTTGTTTGCTATTCAGGAGGCATGTTTTAGCTGTGCAGCTGTACTGCCCTTTCTTCCCAGGATTGAGGGGAAAGTAGTTGTGTACCTGTTCACAACTTCATAAAACCTTTTTTTTTTTTTTTTTTTTTTCTGTTTTGAGCAGGATGGGTTGTATGTTTTGTCTTTTCACAGTTCGGTAAAACAGCTGTTTTCTCCCAGAAGTCTGGTAAGCTTGGAAGGCTTGTGGCACACAATGCATTGGCCCTTAAGGCCAGTGATAACGTAGAGAAGTGTTTGCTTTGCGACTTCTCCATCTGCTGTGTTCTGTGTGACATAGATATGAATCTGGAAGGAAATGATAAGTCTGGCAGTCTGACAAATATATGATAAAAATGGGTAACTTAGACTTGATTTTTATGCTGCATATTCTTAGTGAACACACTTGTTTAATTTTGCATGCATATGTAATTTGAATGAAACAGCAATTCCATTTCAGTTGATCTCTGATGCCAGGTAACTACCACTGCTGTGCCCAAGCTGTGAGATCAGAGTTATTCAATGGCAAAGCACTTTTTTTTTTTCTCCATTGTATTTTTAAACTTACTGGACTCAGTGAGTAACTGGTGACCTGTTTCCAATCTGTCTAAACTTCTACAACCAGCACTTACTATGCAGTTCAGAATAGCTCTTAATGAAGCTGAGAGCTGGCAGTGGATGTATTTATCACTCACACTAATTGTTCTCAACCTAATACACTCTCATTCAGTTTTATCTCATGCTGTCAGTGTGTTATGTTGGACCCTATTAAATGTTCCAAACAGATGCCCCCTTCAGTGTCCCATATTTTCCTGTGTCACTTGCCCAAGGTGGTGAAGGTGGTCTGTGTGAACTTCTGGCCCCTGCACCACTTCCCCACACTCTGCTGGGTTGTCATGCTGTGATGGGGCTGCACTTGAACCTAGGGAATGGAAAAGTAGTGTGCAATGGCAACAGACAGTGACAGAAATGTAACAGCTGCATAGGACAGAAAAGAAATAACTTTCATGACATAAAAAATGATAATAGAAAATGGATTATTTTTTAAAGCAGTTTTGTAGCTTAAAAAGAAATGCTGAGCATCCTTCAGCCTGCCCATGAATGCTGAATGTAAATTCAGCAGTGCTAAGAAACCCCTTATTCTCTCTGGCTTCACCCAGAGATGCAGTTATGGCCTTATAGGCCTGAGCACTGTGCTCCCTAAGAGAGGAATGTGAGGGAACATATGTGACTAATATTCTTATAACTCAAGACTAGGAAAAGACAAAGAACATGATAAATGTCCTATGATGTTAAGAAAAACATTATTCTACTTCAGTTGCTTCTAAGTAACCCCAGAGACTTGAAGGAAACTTAGTGATAACTTGAAATTCTCATTCTGAAATGTTCGTGTGAGAGGTGAAAGAGTTTGGGCTCTTCCTTGAGAGTGAGAGGTAACCCTTTGAAATGTGAGAGATATTGGAAAAGACAGCATTACTATTTAGAGAAGGCAGTGGAATACAACCTGTTGTACTACTATGCAAAGTTGATAATGGCACATAAATTTGAAACTCCTAAATGCTTTTAAAAGGAGGAAAAAGAAATCAGAGCCAAGCAAATACTGCTTTACCTCTAGAAACTGTAACCTTAAAAATGAACTGGAAAGCATTGTTAGTACACATCTTACTGGACCCTGGAATTGTGGAAAAACCATGTGGAAGGGGAAAAGCTTTGTGTAAGGGCTGAAAAAGGAAGGTACTTCAGTTATCACTGTTGCTACTACCAGGTTTCTACAGTGGTCAGCAACATGTGCAGTAAATGGAGCATAGAGCAATTGCATTTAGTTGCTTTTATCATAAATAAAGTACATATTTTCTTTTTTGCAAACATGTCCCTCATCTATATTACATATACAGAAGACAGAGGAATTATTCTGTGGCAGAGAGTGTTGTCTTTATTAACAGTCATAACCAAGTGCAAAAGAAGTTGAGGGCTTGAGAGCTTGAAACCAGTTCCTCAGTCCTCTGTTTCAGATCTCTACTCTGTTTCCAGTGGGTTGATCTCCTTGAAGAAGCTGTAGTTTAACTGGGCGTGGGGTGTAGGGGGTGTTGGTCATTTAAGAATACAGAGGTATGATGTTTCCTACATAGATTTCTCTTGCCTGTCTCTAGAATTGTTGCAAACTGCTCTGAAAGAATGGAATTGTCTGTGTGAGGGAAGCAGGCTTCTGCAGTGGGGAGGGTATTTCAAAGAGGCTTTTTCCTTATGTCTTGTCTTCATACCAAACTGTTTGAATGAACTGGCTAAACAGCACTTGTCAGCCAGTTGTTGAAAAGAATGCTTTCTCTAAGGCATTTAACTTTGAATCCTCCAAAAAAAATTTTTTTTTAATCTTTAGGTAATGTGCCTTCATTGTTCGTATCTGTGAAGATGTTTCATGCTGCACATGCATGTCATGTCATGCAAGTTTTTGATGGCTCTTTAAAAAACATGGTTGCCTTTTCAATTGTGTGGGGAAAACATGCAGAGCCACTAAGCTGCAGTTTTCAACAGGAGGTTTTTGTTGTGCTGCAGGGAGGAAAAAAGGCCAGGAGGCAGGGCTGAAAATCAAGACTGTTTTTACTCTTAAACCTGTGACCACTGGCCTTTTGAGCAAAGTAGGCTCTAATAAATCTTTTTCTTGAGATTACTTCTGGTTCTATGAAGAATTACTTCTACAAAATAGTGTCTAAAAAGTTCCACTCTTTTTTCCTTTCTATTTTTAAACAGTTTTAGTCCTGTGTGTTTTTTAAAATATTGGAGTATATTGTATGTATTTCTTGTTGCAAAATAGCTGGCTCTAACATGACTTGCATCTAGAAGAAAATGTGTTTATTTGCAGGCAAATGACTAGTTCTACTTTGACTGTGATGCACTCCCAGCAGATATCTGAGAGTGAGTTATGGCTGCATCTTCTCTTGTCAGGTTGTATGCTGGTCAACAAGCTGGCATCTTGCATTGGATTCATATAGAAACCTCTAGTAGTATTTTACCACACATCACGTTTTGTGTTCCTGTTACCATTAAAAAAAAAAAAAAAGTTGCAGGAGTCAATAAACACTGGGTAATGTTAACCACTGTCCTGTGCAAATCTCTTCAGTCTTGTGTCTCACTGTGGCCAGGGATGCAAGGGTGGGTGCAGTGCCATGCAGCTCCATGTAGGGTGACACTGAAATCTGTATCCACGACTGTCTTCTGCTGTTGGAGAGCTTGTTTTGTTGCCCTCAGCTTGGCACATTTCATTGGTCACTTCCTGCTATTTTGAAGTTATTTACCTAGCTAGTGACCCTCTTCTTGAAATGCCTATTTGTTTTCACGCTCCTGTTGAACAAGATAACATTCTCACGATTCAATTGTTGTCTGATAAGTTTTATTTTTAACAGTGTTCACATCCTCCCCCTGCTACTTTTCCAGTCTGAATCCCACAGTTTTCTCCTGTGACTGTGTGGGAGACTTCTCCTCACTCCCACTAACAGTGCTGTTGAATGAAAGCCAGGGCATTTTCACTTATTTGGTAGAGCTATGAGCTTTCTGATTCCTTTGCAATCTTATGAATATTGAGAATTTCCCTTTTCCTATTTAAAACATGGTATCTATCATGGAGGGTTTGGATTTGACTTGTGGGGTTTTTTTTTTGTGGGAGATGGAAAAGATGTCTAAACTTGCCATCTATTTAAGTATTTCTTTTAGACTGAGTTTTTAGAGCATAGGGAGGAAGACCTATGGAAAGCAGAGGGGTTTCTCTTCTGAGCATGCTCCCCAACTAGTAAAGGTTGATAGGAGCAGCTTGAGAAGAAGCTGGCTGTTGGCCATCCAGCTGCCAAGGACTTTGAACTCTGACTTTCTCTAAGCAAATATGTTTGCAGTAATTGTTATCTTACAGCTATTTAGGGGTTTCTTTCCTCCCCCACCTACCCAAAGGGATATGGCTAAATATATTTGCACTGACAATTCTCATGACTCTTGAGAATGCATCTGATATTGGAGTTGCACTGAAAATTGCAAAGGAGCATGACAGTGGAAGAGAGGTTAGTAAAAATTGATTCCCCTTTCCCACATAATGTTGTCTCTATGGAGTACTTGTACTTCAGAGAGTTGGTTAAAACTCCAATTCTGTTCCACAAGGCATTGAGAGTTTTTTATCTGTCTTTTGGAAAGCACAGATAATTTCATCTGCATGTGTGCTTATTTTAAACAAAGCTGGAGATGCTAAATAAACCACACTGGGTCAACTGCAGACAGTAGTTCTTATATGGTGGCAAAGAGAGTCAATGCCAGCATGTCCAGTGCTCCTTTGCTGGGTACCCACAGTCTTTCTTCTAGAGAGGAGGAAGTTTGGGATCCCTGATGTTAGCTAACACCCTGGACCTGTGGGGCTGGTGAGAAGCAGGGAAAGAAAGACCCTGTAGTCCAAACTAGTAGAGCTCTGAAAAATCATTTGTGGTTACATGGGTTCACAGCTCCCATGAGGCTGCTGAGTAGAGGGAGCAGAGCAGAGAAGTTGCTTCTGGAGCCAGGCCCAAGCTATCCCCAGGAAGAGTGCAGAGCTCTGAGTTCACACCATGGGAACCCATGCAGAGTCTGGTCACTCCTGCTCTTCAGGATGGGTTATCCCTTCCCAGGCAGAGGATGTCGAGGTGTTAAAGTGGATGAGAGACAATGGTTACTGTCATTGTCCCTTCTTGCTGAACCAAGAATTGATTAGCTTCCTGCAAGGGACCTGGCATCCCTCTGCAGCACCCAGAGATTATCTGTCAAGGACGCAGTGCTGATCCACCTTGTGCCAGGAAAGGTCTGGTTAGAATGTAATCTTGAGGGGTTGATGTGTCATGCAGTGCCAGCAGGTTATTTTTAATTTGCTAAACACTTTCATGCCAGCTTTGACACCTATCCCACCTATACAGTGGCTCAGTGGATGAACTGTGTTCATGACTGGGATACACGGTAACACACTACACCATGCTCTAAGCAAGGGAGAAGATGCCTGCTGTTACATGGTACCAGCCACTTCTTTTATAAGAAGAAAAAAAAACATCAAGGAAGAAAAAAAAAAAAAGACATCTGAACAGACATTTAATTGTTAAAGGAAGTCTTAACAGACTAAAGCTCAGCTGTCTTAAGAGAGTTTTTCAAAAGCATACTGCAAACACTTCTGTTTCAAAGCTTATGCTGCTTTATCTATGAGAAGCTAAACACTGGCTAATTCTTTAATTAGTTCCCAACAAAATGTTTTTCTCTGTAGCCAAGGCTTGCTACAGGATAATTATGTCTTTAGTTTAAAAAAAGTGTCAATACAGAAAGTTGTTTTGATTTTTCTTTCTTCAAATGTTTTATTTTGCCTTCTACTTTGTTTCTACTCTCTTCATTCTCAGCTGCACTATCTTTCCTTGATTTGGGAAAGGTTGATTACTTTATTTTTAGCTCCCTGTGCTGCATGAATGGACATGGCAGACCCAAGCCAGTACTGTGGTCTGGGTGCAATTGTACGAGTGCAGTGCTTGGGTCTGTCCCAGGGCCAAGGTGATGGAGGAACCTGAGGCGCCATCAGTTAAGCAGCTCACCTTGAACTGCAGTGACCATGCTACAGTTTAACCATGTGGGTACCCAAGTGCTACACTGCATGCTGAAGATCTACATTTGAAGCTTCCCAACTTCCTGCCTATAACCACAGTCATCTACATTTATTTTAGCAGAGTTTCCAGAACACCAACAGCTCTCCTGCTAGTTTGTTAAGAGCTGCTTAAGTCTTGACAGGACTGAATGGATGC